GAAGCCCCTAAAAATGTAAAAAAGTGTCGTAAAACCTATAAAAAAAATTTTTATTCTTGTGTAACCATATCGGAATTTTTACCTAATTTGGGACGGTCTCACCTGAATTTATACAGTGCTAGACGGTAAACCTCGGGCTAGGTTGGCCAATGTGGCTTAGTAAATGCCAATGGACAATATCCATTGACAATTTATTCAGAACTCATCATAGTCCATTGCCAACCCTGACCTCGGGTCCTAGATGCGTGCACTTAGAGGTTTGACTATATAATTGAACTTATCGACGAGTGTCGGCGTGTAAATTATGTGGCGCATGCGTGTGACTCATTACCCCGTTTTAGCGAACCCCTTTTTTGGTATTCCCTGACTAACGCGTACAAGTATAATAATTGAAAGTTTATATTGTGAACAGCAGTATCTTTTTCACCTTTAATAAAGTCGTGCGATGCCATTTGAAAATTATGACTGGAGTGATGTTGTTCCAATTGAACAAGATGACGGGCCTGATCCGCTTGCCCAAATAGCATATGATCCAGAATGTATATTTTTTCGTCACGTCTAATTCGTTGTTTGCAAAAAGTGCAAGCTAAAAGCTAAATTTTTTAAAAAAAATAGATTCAAAGGCTATGGGTTATTTTCGCGCGCTTTCCCAAAAGAATGAACATAGCGAGAGAGCCCTAACTCTCACAGAAAAAATAATTGAACATAATCCAGCTCATTATACTATTTGGTATGTTCGTTTATCTTTTAAGTCTTTTTAAGTCTTTTTAGGTCTTTTTAAGTCTTCATGACATTTAGATTCATAATGTAATTCAAATTTTATCGTTATACAAAAAGGCATTATCGTCAGCAAATTTTATTCTCTTTAAATAAAGATTTAAATGAAGAATTAGATTTTATTCAGAAGCAAGTTGAACAAAATCCAAAGAATTATCAACTTTGGTAAGGGTCGACTAAAATTACACTCAAAAATGGATAAAAGTAATATTGATAATACGCTTTATATGAATTAGGCATCATCGACAGGTAATTGTAGAAAAACTTAAGGATTGCTCTCTTGAATTATCATTCACTGAAGAGGTCTTGAACGACGATTCAAAAAATTATCATGCATGGACTTATAGGTTCATTATAACTCTATCCTTTTCCTTTTTATGGTTTTTATACATTTTGATTTTCAAATTTTAACTTTTAACCATCTTAACAAAGACAATGGGTCATCAGAACTTTTAATCTTTGGGATAATGAACTAACTTTTGTCGAAAAATTGATAGAGAAGGATATACGAAATAATTCTGCATGGAACCAGAGATATTTTGCAATCTTTCATAATCCTACCAAACCTAGTGAAGAATTTCTTTGGGAGGAAGTTCAGTAAGTATAACATATTTATTCATATATTAGCTTCTGAATATTGATTATAATAACACTCATAAATTACTATTTAACACTCATAAATTATTATTTAGATATGGTATATCCAAAATTAAGTTGGCCCCTAATAATATCAGTCCATGGAATTATGTTAAAGGGTAAGAAAAAAAAAAAAAGGTTTCTACGTAGATGTTTTAATTTTATACATTAATATTTGTATAAACTTTCGTAGGGTCATTGCAAAATCTAAGCTAAAACTTGACGTATTGGAAGAACTCTGTAAATCACTTTATCAACAAGGTATTATATCGCCACATGCACTTGGATGCCTTGTTGATATTTATGAAGATCGAGCCAAGTGTGGTTCAATTAATGAAAAAGAATTGGGAATCCAGGTATTTTTAAAACGTTTATTTATTATGACAAGAGGATACATCGAAGCATGTTAATTTTATTAGATACCTTTTTAATTCTTTTATTTTACGTATCCATTTATTGTAATATAATGCTAGACTTGTGTTCTTTTGGCAGAGCAGCACGACATTATTCGCCAGAAGTATTGGAATTATAGAAAACATGTCCTGGCTTCTATAGCTTGATAAAATGATAAATTGATCTATCACTTATTCTTTACTGTTCAATCCGAATTCTTTACGCTCTTAAAACAGTGCAATGTATCTTATCTTAACATCAAATTTTATTTATAGTGTAACATATTCTATTATTAATAAGAATACAACATATCTTAATATAAATAAATTATGTCAATAAGGCCATAGAAATTTAATTGTTTTTATATGTAGCCCAAAAAAATTTTTTATTATAGCTGTTAACTATTAAATTTATTTAATAAAACAAAGTAGATAAATTTTATCTAGTCACTATATTATAAAAACTCAATTTACTAAAATTTTGCTTTTTATTAATAATTCTAATTTTAAATTCTAGCCTAACCACAAAAAACATATCTAAAAAGGGTTACGTATAATAAGTATATACAATAAAAATAGATCAAATTTTTAGTTTCAGTTTCAGTTTCAGGTTCAGCTATCACAATTATTAAACGTACACTTTAGCAACAATATATAAGAATATATAATACATATGTAAATATACATACAATTTAAAATGAATTATACAATTAATAGTGTTTGGCAATATTAGATTGATTATTAGTTTAAGACATTTAAAGTCAGTGATTTGGAATTGGACATACATTTCCAATTGGAATCTATGTTCAAATGATCCAATTTATAGGTCCAGTGGAACAAAGTTGGTCCAATTGCCCAACACCGAATTTAATGAATATACTTCTTGAATTCTAAAAATAATTGTATAGAATATTATGACGATAAAGAATTTGGGTTTTAAATATATATGCACAGTATCATTATACTATATCAGATATTACGTATAAACGTACGTACGTACAGCATATATATTCTTTTAATATTTTATACTCGAGCATATGCAAATATGATTTTAATTGCCTCAAATCATATAACAAAAGTGCACGTAGCATCTTCAACTACTACGTGTGAGTCCAAAAATAACCATTTGATGTTAAATTGCTGAAAGTATTTTGGCAATTTTAATCTACATGTATGTACTAAATCAAAAATGCTAAATTACTTTTCAGCCAAGTCGCAGTCGCAGTACGGTAGTTCTACGTCATATATATAACGGAATCTTCCGCAAAGATGCATTAACTAGATTTCGAAAGTGGCAACATCTTGAAATATGTAATCTTAAACTATTATGTATGCTTTATTTATTACAATAATACGTATAAATTGATATTCTAAATTAGGATGATAAGAGAAAGTAATAAATTTATTTACAAGACACACATCAGGTTATTATTACGTACTAAATGGTGTTTTACCTGTTAGTAATATCATTTTTTTTGTGCATAAACTGTTTCGGGATTAGCATTTGTCATTACTTATTACTAATAAATGGCGAAATCAAAAAAATTCAAGTTATATAATGTTTTATTGACCTTATATAGTTCAGATGGAAAAACCTGCTAAATGTTGAAAAAATCGAATATTCTGTATTTTTACGACGTACGTACGTACTTGAATATTGAGATCTTTACCATGCAAATTTTTTTATCTGATAAGGTGATAATCACGGAACCAGATCTGTACTACATCGTCTAGTATAAATAAAAATGAGTTCATGAAATGAATCGAATTTGTATCGTGATGACTGATAAAAAATATATAATACTTTCGACTTATCGACAATTACTGAAAGAAATCAACAAACAGGTAAAAAAAATACGTTCATTCACTATTTGGGAATCGTTTAATGCCAGGTAGTAATTTATATGTGTCACGTGGGTTTTAATTTACAAATTTGTTAGTAATCAATTTTAAAAACTATATATCATACCTGGCTTTAAGACGACATCAATGCTTGGCATTCATATATACATAACATATATATTCAATAAGATTAATAAATATTTATTTAAAAGTTTACATCACAGAATAATAATCAATACTGGAAATTGCAATTAATAGAAGCATTTAGAAAAAATAAAGATATCACAAATACTGAAGTGTCACAAAGATTGAATCAGGACGCGCAGGATGTGTTAAGCTTTTTGAGAAGCAACCGCAGGCATAATGTACATTTTATTATTGGTTCATACTAAATTAGTTTTTCTCAAACCAATTTTTTTTTTCGAATTTCCTGAAATTTGGTGACTACCAATCAAGTCAACAGGATAGTCCAAATTCGGGACGTTTAAAGCCTATCACCTTTCAAAATTATCCAGTAACTTTAAACCAATAATAATAAGATTACGAAATTTTGGTTAACCGGAAACGATAAAAAGAAATATGAAAAAGGTGCAAGGTTTTAAGCGTCACCCAAATTAGGAAATAATGGTTCGAGAAATTAGTCTTAGTTGATGTTTAAGATTTAATTAATTAATAATAATTTAATACATGTATCTAAAAAGGAACTTTTAGCCTCATATAATCCAACTCACAGACAATCAGAAGAAAAACGCGTAGAATTAACAGCAAATCGTGTTGGATTGAAAGTGCCTGGGAGCGATGTCTAAAATTAAATTTTTAATTTAGTTACAATAAAATAAGTTGCATATTTTATAATTTTATAATTTTATCATTTTTTATTTTGTATTGTACGTATATAATTTAAAGAAATTGATAGAGTCTGATCTAAATGTTAAAAGCAGCGAAAAAAATATCTTTAGAGATTCGAACTTTATTATGATAATCACAAGATACAATTGAATTGTTCTCAACGACCATTGTGTCGCATGACAACATCATCACATTACATATATAGACATGTACAATGAAATCTAAAGCTTTAAGTTTCACATGAAGGTATGAGCAAGCCATCGTTATTAAAATTTTACAATGGAGGTTTATCCAGATATTGTGATTTCTTTCAGACCTTGCTATTTATAATTTTTAGAAATCTAACGCCTAATACAATTAAGCTAATACATATATACATAAATAGTCAAACATTTTTTTATTCTCCTGCAGACAAGCATATAATGTACGTACCTTTCAGCCCGTTCAAAAGACTAAAAATATTCATTGTTAGATCGACCTTAAAGGTAATAATAATGGTTGCGCCTTATCATAATGACTACTTGCCAACGCACGTACGTACGTACATACATACCTGATACGTAGGTGCGTAGGTACGTAGGTACGTACGTACCTGGTACGTAGAATGCAAGTTCATTGTTCGATTATAACTGATGATAATAGTTACTTCCAATAGCCTCGTCGATCAAAATTGGGTTATCCAATGGTATGTATATATGATATATGGTAATAATGATTCGGCATTGTTTTTCGGTATGATTTTCTACCGATTGAAATTATAATGCAATATTTTCATGCAGACAAATCATTTGACTTTCATGTGTCATGCCTCTGTACTTATCTTAATGGAGTTACACTGCGCTTATCATTTACATGCATAATCCACATGATGGTCGATCGCATTTGGTCATTGAATCAAAGCAAAAACTAACGCGATCAACGTGATTGAATTCAAAGAGCTGAGCAAAAGATTTCGATTAAGGTAGAACTAGTAACTAATCATTAGGAATATTGCATGAATCAGAAACAAAGTTGCAGGAGGATAGTTTTAATCTGGAAAAATACAAGATATCAATATTAAAATTTTATCCAAGAAAATAAGATCGTTTTTTTGAGATAAAAATTACGGCTATTTTTTTGGCCTAAAAAATTTATTCTCGTATATAAGTACGCACTAGAGAATTAAATAAAAATGACTGAATTTATGAAATACAAAATAGTGTTTAAAAAAAAAAAAAATAAAAAAAAAATAAAAATTTTTCAAAACACTTTTGAGAGTTTAGGAATTCGAATTAATGATAAAAAAATAAAGCTTATATATATACAATTTGTTAGATATTTCGTTAAATTTTCTATAATAAAATACTACTAAATAATAATACTATATGGAATGAAAAGCATATAAAAACATTTACAAAATAGGAGGTATAAAATAATATAAATACATTTTAAGTTTTCATTTTAGGTTTTATTTTACAATAACGATAGTTCAAAATTATTCTATCTTGATGGAAGTGGATTGGTCGATCTTAAACAAGCTTGTATGTACTTAAATTTCTTTAGAACATAATAAAGATGTCTTAATGGAAGATGATCTTGGTTGTGTTAAGTAGGTTAAGTAGGTTAAGTAGCCGAAGGGTAAAACGATACAGGTGGGTTAAGTAACCACGATACAGGTAGCAGAAGGGTAGGACGATACAGGTAGGTTAAGTGGCAGAAGGGTAAGACGCCTGCGTAACACACCCAGCAAGTGTTTATAATTTACAAAAGTTACACCTGTAATCGATTAATAAACACTATACAAATAGATTATGTTTAATCAGCATATAAATAAAATCAAATTTTGATCACAAAACATAAAAATCATTAAATAACAAATACCTATAGAAAATATTAAACAATTGCTTGTTTGCGGGTCATCGGGGTGTACATTGGGATACCAGTAGATTTAGAAGAAAGACCAGATTGTATATTAGAATGAATGCTAGGATCATCATCAGGTACATTTGAAATAATGTCCTCGCATAATGGAGAATGAGTAACAGCAATACTAATATGAGTGTTAGGTGTGTTAGAAATAGTTTTAGAACTATTGGGAGTGCTAGGTCTCGAGGAATTATTACAGCTTGGCCAAATAGGTGTCCTTGATCGTAATGGCATTTTTGAATTGAGATGTGACAAAGAATTATTCTGTGTAGGATTAATAATACTTGAAGAAAGATTAGAAGGTGTATTTGGTCTAGAGGAAGTGTAAGAATCTGGTGGTGAAAAATTTTGAATTCTTGATGGAGTCTGCATCTTTGAAGATGTTATCGAACTGCTAACAACACTTGGTGTCCTTATACCATTAGGTGTATTAGATCTTGAAGGAATGGAAGGAACGGAAATATTTGATACGCTCGAGGCTCTTGACCTTGCTGGTGAAGAAATTTTGGAAGATTGATTTTTTGGAGTTCCAGGTCTGCTATTGCTAATCGGATTTTGTTTTACCGGAAATTTAGGTAAATTAGATACCGGAGAAATTTTCTGATTAATCGCCATTTCACAATCCGATTTCATATTTTCGACGAGTTTCCATACTCGACCATATACACTTTCGAATTCAAATCGTTTAGAAGAATTGAACTCACGAAAAGAAGTATCATCGGAACTTTCAGAATCTTCTGAGCTATCAGAACTTTCAGAACTTTCAAAGCTTTCAGAACTTTCAGAACTTTCAGATGTTTCAGAACCATAACTAGGTTCATCAGAATCATTTTTTTCATACACTTTTACACGATGAATCGAATTATTTTTCCATTGAGTAGCAATTATTTCTCGTAAATTATCACGTTCTTGAGTTATTTCTTTTAAAGAATTTTCCAATTCTGCGACTCGTCTTTCTAAAGTAGCATTAGCTGTTTTGAAAACTGTATTTTCAAACTCTATTATTCGTTGTTCTAACGAAGATATTCTGATTAGTTCTTTTTCATCGGGTGTAGCGATAGGTTGGTGAACCATGGTTGAATAAAATAAATAACAATTCTAATTTTAATTTAGGTATATTATATATGTATGTACGTATGTATGTACGTACGTAAGTTATATATTTGTCGTTATTATGTATTTATTTATACGTATATACACATAGGGGTGTACGTATATCAGATATAGCGAGTTTTTGAAAGATACGTATTTATAAATAAATTTAGGTTTGTTATTCGAGAAGGTCAACAAAGTGGACGTTGAAGGTGGGCTTTTTATTGAATTTGCAATGAGATGCACAAAGGAGATAGTTCCCCTAAATTTACATTGGTAATCTTTAAGAAGGAGGCTTACTTTTGTTGTTTCCGAAATGGTTACATGAAATTTTTCCCTAAAGAGGATCCGAGAAGAAGTGGGGCACTGCAATTACCATTTTTTCAGTAATTTTACTTTGTACAAAAAAATAACATTTATACTATATTGAAACAAACCAGCCCCCAATCAATTTATATTATGTATAAAGTCGATTATTAGAAGGTCAAAGAAAATATTCCCGATTTTGCCCCATGTCGATAAGGTAATCAGTCGAATCTTTCTTTAGTTAGGTGAATAAAAATGAAGATGCATTTGCATTTCATTCTACATTTATGTTTATCACAGTTTTAAACTTACTTTAATGATAGTGTAGTTAACTATTAATCCATTATTGGTATTTTATTTGGAGCACATATATGTTCTTTTTTTTTTTTTTTTTTCTTAGAGTTTGACCGCTCATTGTGTAAAATATATGCAATATATATATATATTTATATATTTATATTTATATATATATATATATATGATATATATATATAAATATTCCTCATATCAATTACCTCATCATGTGTAGATTGTGAAACGATCTGTATTAATCATCATTACTTATCGAAGAATCTCGTTGTGATAATGTGATTTTATCGTTATTACGTATTAATAATCATTAATTAAAGATTAGGTAAATTATTATTATTAATGTTAAAATAACTCCTAACTTTGAAATTCTGCGTTCGCATGTGCTTTGCTTAACTCCCTAGGGGTTTCTTTGAACATTAAGAAAAACTGATGAATTCATTTATCGGCAATGTTATTTTCACTTATTCATACACTAAAAAAGTTTTAATGAATTGTGGTACTGATCAACAATTTATATCATATGTTTATTCATAGAAGTCTAACTTTAAATTATAAAAAAAAATTTCTTTTAACGACATTTTGAATAAGGAATTTAAGCAAATATGGTATCATCTATTTTATCTATCGTCTATTTACATAATGGTACGTACATCTTTTTTTTTACAAAATTTCTCAACACCGAATTTATTTAAATCGGAGATTTTATATCATGTGATAACGATCCTATCTGAAAAAAAAAAAACTTCCGATTTGTAAAATATATAATTCGATGTTCGTGCTGTAGTGTTAGGTTAGACTAGCCCTAGTGCTGTAGTGTTAGAAAGCAACATAAGCAAAAGATAGTTTTGATTTAATCCGATCAAATTATTTATTAAACATGTAATACTTCAAAAAATTGTAATAATGAAAACCCGTGTTTAAATGATGAAAAAATGAATTGTATTAAACATGTTACATGCTATTTCTTATGTTAAAATTGATTATATTACAATTATTTAAACAATTATTTAAAAGAATTGTGCTCATATCACTACAAGTGAAAAAAAAATAAAAAAATAGATTTAACAAATGCTATTTGTAAAAAAGTAATACAGTAATACAGTAATACAATAATAATAAATATTCATAAAATTATTCATATGATATATCACTATGATTAACATTCTTATACATGGTAAATAATGAAAAACACTTTCTGCAAAAAAATAAAAATAAAATATTACCATATACTACTTTTTTTAAAAAAAATTTACTTTAAAAAAAAAAAATTTTGTACAAATAAACCCTTCAAAAAAAATAAAAAAAATGTGACCATTTCTCATTTACATTTAAATTATCCGTTTCCTATTTAATCTATTATCATATCATCCTCCCTTAATTCACCCTCTTCTAACTCATCATCTGCATCATCTGGAGGTTCAGAAACCACCGATTCTATTATTTTTGTTACAGGTTTAATTGGTGAAGATATTTTTTCATCATTGTCTTTAGAATTTGAAGAATCGGTTTTCGTTTTTAATATGGAATCAGTTGTATCATTTAAATTCGATTCTGATTTAAAAATCGATATTTGTGTTTGCTCATCTTTTACTGTTTGCGCTGATATTATTGGTTCTTCTATTAATTTAGGAATAGATAAAAAAAAAGAAAAAGATTGTCAGAATCATTATACAATAAATGTCAAAATAAACATATATTATATACATAATATATAAATATAAATAAAGTAAACAAACCTGTTTCTTTATAATTGTCAACAGTATCATCCATAGGAGGTGGACTACTAATTATAGTGTTATCTAATAAAGGACCATGTGTAATTTTCTTGTCAATAATCTCATCCTCCACACTACTAGCAGCATTAGTCTCAGTGTTATCATTTTTTTTATGAAGATCCGGAGGCCTAGTCTTTGCTTCCTTTAAAAATTCAGGTGGTAATAATTCATCTTTGAATTTTGATAAATTTTTGAAACAGCCGACGAGTGTGGCATTTACTACACCAGCAGCTTGGGCAACATCTTTGTGTTCGCACTTTATTTGTTCATGATCATCAGTACCGTTCCAATGTTGCATACGAATCTCATTCCACGAAGCAATTGACAACCATATTGAAGCAGCGCCAACTGAAACTGGACATTTTCCTGTTGTGATATTCAATTCACTTGCTTGCCTGTATACATGAATAGCAGCTTCAAGTATATGTGATGGAAGTTTAAGATTCTGACACCATCGTTTCTATGAATTAAAAAATACTCGTTAGAAATGTATAATTTTATATATAAAAATAATAATAATAATAATAATAATAATTACCAAATATTCGGCCGAATCAACTGTACCATTAGACCCACCACCTAATCCATTATTCTCAAATACTTTAAGCATGAGACGATAATATGTTCCAATCTCTTGCTTTCGAATTGATGCGGCGTTACATATCTCCACAAAAGTACGAGGAAGTCCATTTTGCCTGCAAAGGATAAAAAGAATAGATGCAAGAATATGATTTCTTTTACGATGAGGTTGTCTATTCTTCATTTCTTTAGAATGTTTTACAATTTCAAACACCCGTAAAGTTTCATCCCAAATATGATGAGGAATTTCTATATTTTTTTCCCATTCTATCGCATCTAATTCTAATTTTTCATCATCTCTCATTGTAGATCTACGTCTGGTAGGATAAGGTCTTTGTGATTTACCATTGCTATTAACATTTGTAGGTGGTGTTGATAAAGTATCTACAATTTCTGAATTTGATGTATTAGATGTATTAGATGAACCATCTTTATTACTACCATTACTAGAAGTTGATCCTTTACGAGATATCGAACTAGAAGTTGAGGCTTTTCGAGATAGAGTACCACTACAATTTGCATTAGGAGAAGCTGGAAGAAAAGGTTTTACGGTGGTAGTAGTAGATGTAACTGATGTCAAATTTCCTGATGTCACTATAGAAGTGTCCTTGACATCTTCGGCTTTAACTTGATTAATAACATTTTCGACCTTAACTTGATTGATAACATTTTCAACCTTAACTTGATTAATAGCATTTTCGACCTTAACTTGATTAATAGCATTTTCGACCTTAACTTGATTAATAGCATTTTCGGCCTTAATGTTATTATTAACAACCTCTTCTACCTTAACACGGTTAGTATCTAACAATGGAGAGGTTGTTGATGGAGGGGATGATGAATAAACCATTGATTTAAAATCATCATTTTTTCCACCTATTGAAGAAGGAATTTCGATTTCTTCTTCAACTTCTTCTTCTGTTTCCATATCATCACTATTCCAATCATTATCAGGTATGGATTGCTTTTGTTTAGATAAATCCTCATCATCTGAATCATCATCCATTGCAAGATCGTTATCAGAATCATTACTTGGATTGTCTATTGAGACATGCTCTTGTCTAATATGTACAATATTATTGATTACACGACTACCGGTATTATTATCTTTACAAATCCTTTTATCAATGTTCACAGAGGATTTTTTAATGGGAGATTGATGTCGTTTAGAGAAATTAGAACTATTACTACGAGGAATAAAGGGTGATTTCACCTGAGGACCATCATTATTCTTCTCTTCAACAGGTTTTTCCTCATGTATTGATAATTCCCTAACTTTTGTAGCAACATGATCATCCATAGATTCATTAGCAACGACTTCAGTGACAACATCCATGACATTAGTATCGACAACGTTCGTATCGACATTATTAACAGCATTCATAACATTTGTAACTACATTTATATCATGAACATTCTTATTGACGACATTCCTATCTACAGTATTCTTATCGATGACATTCATATCTACATCGACATTCGTATCTACGATGACGTTTGTATCTACATCAAGATTCGTAACAACTGATGGAGTTGTAGAAACAGGAGGACTTAATTTTTCACAAACATTGCTATTATTTTTCAGAGAATTTAAAATCAAAGCAGTTTCAATATTTTGATCCTTTGATTCAATAATACCATTCATCATAGTTGAATCATTATCATTAATTTCTTGGGATACTTTATATCTCTTATTATCAGAATCAACAATTTGAGATTTTGGAATGCAAGAATAATCACGTTTATGATTTTGATTCGTTATAATGTCAGTTGAAGAAGAATCTTCAGAAGGAGTTTCAGGAGAAGGACGATTAATTTTTGATACGGGAGCATCTTTAGGTTTTCTACTACGTTTTTGAGAAGAAACAGTACTACTACCATTATTAACTATACTATTTTTTCGAGGACGTGAAGAAGATTTTGAGGAAGGAAGTTGAGAACCAGTATCCGAAACAGGATTAGGAGTTGGAACCACATACTGTACGAATACAGGAGTATCATTTGTAACAATAGATTGAGATTGAGTAGAGGCAGTTACCGGTTGTTGATTAGGTAAAGGACCAAGAGGAGCGATAGGTCTTGGTTGTTTTTGAGAGCGACCACGTCTTTTAATTGGAACATTTTGATCAATTGATTTATCATCAAGTTGAGATAAGTTACTATTAGGACTATTATGAGAAGAAAAAGAAGCGATTGGAGTACTCGGAGCGGGGGAAGAAGAACGAGTTGACACGGAAGAATTGCTTCCAGATTGATGATGAGACGGAGGGGCCAGATAAAATGGAGAAGTTTCCCGATTTTCACGAGGATACTGCTGAATAATAGGTTGTTGAGAAGGTTGTAAATGGGACAATTTAGGTGAAGACAATGGAATCTGAGTTAAAGTTTGATGATCAGTTAAAGGAGTCGGATGAACCTTTTTGTAGGATTGTACAGGTTGAGAAGGATGTTGAGAAGGATGTTGGGAAGGGTGTTGGGAAGGGTGTTGATGTTGAGAAGGGTGTTGATGTTGAGAAGGGTGTTGAGAAGGGTGTTGATGTTGAGAAGGGTGTTGAGAAGGGTGTTGAGAAGGGTGTTGAGAAGGGTGTTGAGAAGGATGTTGAGAAGGATGTTGAGAAGGATGTTGAGAAGGATGTTGATGAAGAGGTAGTTGTTCGTGGACAATCGAATCAGGGTATCGTTTCTCCATGTTATGAGGAGCAGAAGTAGATACAACACGTTGCTGTGGTTGAGGTTGCTGTAGCTGTTGGGCTACAGGATGATCAACCATTTGAACATTTCTGACACCAGACATTTGATGATCATGAGGAGGAGCAATCATATTTGAAGGTTGAGAAGAGATCAATTGCGAAGAACCATTATCATTAGAATTATTTTGAGAATAATATTGACGATTATGAGAATTATAACCGACTGGAACAGAAGATTGATGGTCATGTTGACTTCTTTCAGGAACCAAATCATTATTATTATATACATGAGACTGATGCGAAGGATGTAAATGAGAATGTTGTTGTTGTTGTTGCTGCTGCTGATGATGCACGTGATGCGAATTCTGCGGCAACTGCTGTTGATATAGATGTGGTTGCTGTGGTTGATATGGTTGATGTGTTACCTGTGGTGGAGGAGGTTGTTGTTGTGGAGATATTTGAGGAACTTGAGATACTTGAGATACCTGAGATACCTGAGGATGAGGAGATTGTTGCGACACGTGGTGGTGATGATGTGAGAGAGGAGGAGGATGTTGATAGTAATGATTACCATTACTATTTGGATAACCATGATGAGCATGGTAATGAGCAACATCTGGAGAAGAAATATTATGATTATCACTCATACGATCATTTACAGAATTTACAGAATTTACAGAAGAATTTGAGGAAGTATTATGATTATAATTAAACGAAGTAGGATTTTGAGATGGAGGAGGTGATTCGAAAGAATGTTGTAAAGGGGGAAGATGTGGTCTCGAATTTAAGGGTATAGAATCTTGTTGAACATGAGAATGAGATTGATGATGATTTATCGAAGGTAAAGGAAGTTGTATCAATTCTCTTATAGAAGGAAGGGTGATCGAAGAAGCAAGTTGACGATTCGGTAGAAGATCAGCATGACGTAAATTATGTTGTTGCTGTTGTTGCTGCTGCTGAAGAGAATTGTGGTGATGATCCATCGCTGTAACCGGTATATGCTTTAAATCTTTTACGTATTCGGAGCCAAGGTGAAAATTGAGTTGATATTTTCTCGGTTTAGAAGGATCCTCTAACACGAACGCATAGTTACTATTATTGTTTACGCGCTCCTGAGTCATGAAAAAAAAATAAAATTTACACTATATATAAGGGGAAAAATAGTACAACTCAAATAATAATAAAAAAATAAAAAATTTTTCAAAGATGTTAATTTGGAGGGAATTCGGTCGTATTTATGTTTTTTTTGGTTTTTTTTGCTTAGACTGTACAAAGATTTAGTTTGTACCTCGGAACCCAAAAATCAATCAAATAGTTTTTTTTTTTTTTTTTTTTGTTTGAAAAAGGGGATGGAATGGGGTATTTTATAGAAAATCTACAAATGATGGAGCAAGTCTGGTGTAACATAAAATAAGCAATATCAAGGCTTAATTTGGATAGGGGCGTACGGGTGCAATATAAAATAAAGCTGAATTATAATAAGAATTTATTCATTCGGGATACAATTGACACATAAATAGTACAGTAAAATTATGAACAATTAATTAATACAAGTCAGACAAACCGGAGTAAATACAATAATATAAATACATATACAAATATATATACGGAATTCAAAATAGGACAACTTCGGCCCAGCGGATAAATTCTGCCCAATTTTACCAATTTTAAAAAGGGTGATGCACCGGATTTATGATAAAGTCAAATCTTTGAGCCGCTATATTAAGTATTTATAGTATTTATACGTAGAGTACTCGTATATATAGTTGACACTTTGATTACCTTTTGTGGCAAAGGTTGTGTGAAAAGTTGTTTTGAGTGGGGATACAATTGACCATTTCGAGACGATACACGTATGCACCTGATGTTACATGAACCTTCACGTTCAAACGTTCATTGGGTAACCCAACAAAGCCGCATATAAATACCACACAAATAGTATTTTTATAAAAAAACTCGCATAATCCAATGAAATCAACGAAAGTATTAAAGTAACGCTCAATCCAACATCGAAGTAAAAAAACGGGAATAGCGGCATATAAATTTTCACCTTACCGAATTGGGATGACTGGTAACACATAATATGTTAGGATGTCCTGATGATGTGATTGAACTTCCTTTTTGTGAACAAATTTCTTCATCAAATAACTTTTACAATTGTAAGTTTTGCATATTGTGCGAGTTCGAACAATTAGTAATTTTAATATAAATCTACATATTAGGATTATATCTTATAAAACTAACTGCCTTATACATAATTAAAGATTTAATCATAAATTTGTTCACTTTGATCATATGAATGTTTGAAAGGTTAATTCTTTAATCCATAATACAGTAATATGTACTTAACTTTCTTATGGTTGTCTTCTCGATTCATTTCCTAACTTTATTTTCTCGCTTCTTTACTGCGGATTTCCAGAGGGTGATGTTCGAAAAGTCTAAGATTTCATTCTACTATACTAAATTTGAATTTGATTCATTTTATATCTGTTGAAGAATTGAGTGACATTTCAAAAGTAGTGTCGATTTGCAAACTTTCAACCCATCCATTATCTTTATGCTCTTCTCTTCTCTCCAAATCTAGCAATCTCATTCAATACCCATTAATCATTAATTACCACAAAATATTTGCCTAATACTTTTACGGAAAACGATAGGTCGTGCCAACTTATTATTGGATGACCATAACGTAAATCATATGCAAATTCAGGTTTTAAGATCAACAAAAATCTTCCTTCCGTACCATGTCAAAATGCACATTGATCACACACCTAGTAAACAAATTATATGAATTTGGTAACCCGTAAATGATGAAAGGAGAAAGAAATAGGTCTCTGACGTCTATTTTTATGAGTCGTTGGCTACACAAGTGCCAAGGTGCGGTTACTCAAATATAAACTCTTCTGCTTGTCCGTCTTTAATAAATTTCTTTAAAAAAAAAAAAAAAAAAAAAAAAAAAAAATTTAATTTCCGGTTTTGTAACTCTTAAAAATAGCTGACTCATTTTCATGTTTTAAAAAAAAAAAAGCTTTCTTAAAAAAACAAAAAAAAAAACAGTTGCGTGTAAGCTTCTGTCCTTTAACGATAAAACATTGACACATTGTTTACATAAATTTATATTTACTCATCTCATGCTTGTACAAGACTGAAATAAATATTAGTAAATGCATTTTTCTTTCTTTTAAAAACTTGTTAAACATGAGTCGTGTTTTTCGCTGCATTGCATAAATGTTTATATCATCTTTCGTCCTCTTTTTTTTTTTTTAGTTTTACAGAGCAATGCAGTGTAACACTTGAAATGTATGCTATGCTGTGCATCATTACTTGTTTATCCCAACCTAAAACTTTATTATTTATATATGAATATAAAGGTGGTTTACTCACTTTTTTATTCCACTTTTCTGAAATACTCTAGTCTATATTAATTCGTTTAATAAATCTTTAATTAATTGTATTTTACTTACAAGCAATTCGAGTAATTCAAGTATCACTTCTTAGTTTTCTGCTCGCAACCTAATAATAATAGTTATTATAAACTCATTAACTGTTTAATGATACGTTCCTGTTTAGTTTAGAACGCAAAAAATGTTTTATTTCACAATATAAATATAATTTTATAACTTGTAAACCGAAAATAAGAAAGGCGTACTTTCCAAAGAGATACCTCATGAGATTTTTGGTAGACGCGTTTTGTTTTAATTTCATTTTTACTCAAAATAGGTATAATCTGTATATGGATTACTATGAGTTATTAACGATGATTAGTAAAGAATTCCTGCATATTTTTTCTATTCTTGTTTAATGTTATCGCCATCTTTAGCTGAATCTGGCTGCTAAAACATATTATACTTTATAAAAAAAAGCTTGGTGATTGTATCTGACCATTACATTATTATAATGTATTTTATTAAGGGGATATGCAGGCTCTCTCAATGTATATTTTAAAAATGTTTCCTTAGATAATCTAAACGTCAACATTTTAAAAACTGTTTCAGCGGTTTGGTTCATTTACCTAAGTTAGGAAATACAAAGTGTTAAATAATCTTTTATACTCGATTTTCTTCTATATAGATGCTATTTATACAACTGATATGACAACTGATACAACAATTATGAGTTCACATTTTAACAATGTTATAATTAAATCGTAATTGTTATGTTTAAAACTTTTTTTTTGTCATACGAAATACATATTAGTATTATACAAATGGGTAAAATTTAGATATCAAAAAAAAAAAAATTCCCAACATTATACTGTATTAAACATTACAAATGTTAAATATTAAACAAATTAATTTTTGTATATTGTTACCAAATCTGTATTTGTCTTTTTGTGTAAATCTCAGAATAGTTTGAATAAATTGTTTCAAGTTAAAGTTTGTCATTCAAGTTTAATTATGTCTATTATAATTAATTATTAGATATGTTTAGCATCTCTAGTGATAGTCATGTTCATATTGATTCGAATACGTATCGTCTAAGCGTAATTACGACATGACAAGCAGGTTAAATGTAAGTACTAATAGTTAGGTTTCATTAGCTGTATAAATATGGTAATTATTTTTTGAACCCGAACCAATTTTATATATATATAACGTAATAACTTTTTGGTCTGGATTCAAAAATATACTGTAGTATATATATATTATATATATTTAATATTTTCAATATATATATAGTATATACTGTATTATATATATATATATATATATATATATACTATATATATTACATATACGTATATAATATATACAGTATTTATATTTTTATTTTTGCTTAATAACTGGCTTTTTTTTTTATAAACTACCATTCGAAGCAAAATTATAATAAATTTAAATGTAATTAGTAGCAAATAGCCAAAAAATTTTATTTTTATTTTTTGACAATTTTGCCTTTATATATTAAGGAATTACTAAACTAAATACTACTACATATTAATATACAGTATAGTATTAAATATTTGAATATAACTTCTAATCAAATCAAAATTAATTTGGTATTTATATAGTACTTAAATGCTGTATAATTTGTCAATACAACTACAGTATCTGTTTTTAAAACTTCTAATTTACTAAATATTTGGTATATAAAAGTATTTTTTTTAGTTAATGACTAGCTATTATAAAAGTATTTTTTTAGTTAATAACTAGCTATTATAATTTTTTTTTTGTGTTAAGATAATCTCTCTAATTATGAGATATTTTATTAATTAGTAATCTATAAGTTAATCAAAAAGTAATTATAGTGATTTTGCAGAGATGTAGCAACTTAGTGTAGTGGTCTAGTCATCACCTTCTCCAAGTGGCAGGTCTAGAGTTCAAATCCCACGAATGACAAATTTTGAAAAATAGCCTGTGCTACGGTTTACGGTTGTCAATTATCGGTTGGATCTAGAAATCTGTAATCTTGGTCATACCATCTAGTTATGGGAGCTTTGG